GTTCCTGCCCAAAAATAGCCCTGCTTGTCGGTACTGTCAGGGGCGATGGGAGCGATGCTTGTTTTTTTTAAAACGGGAGGTGCCCCATCTTAGTCCTGTGTGGGGCCCCTGCCTCTTGTTTGGGACTCCCCTTAAATCATAGAGCAGGGGGGGACACTGCTCACGGGGGAGGGAAAGGCACTCTGAACATGCTCAGAAAGATGTGCTTATATTACCCCTTTAAAACTGTTTTTTTTTAATTATATGTGGCCCCCCGTGGGAGGGTGAGTGGCTAAATCGGTCTGAGTTGAGTTTGCCGAGCTCCTGGTAGCGCCTGGAGATCTCCAGCTATTATAGCTGACCCCCAGACAACAGAGATCAGTGCTCCAGGAGAAAATGACTGATTTGGAGGGTGGACTCTACGGCATTACACCCCATTAAGTTCTCCCCTCTTCAAACCCCACCCTCCTCAGGCTCCACCCCCCCAAAATCTCCAGGTATTTCCCAACCCAGAGCTGGCAACCTGGGGGTGGGGGGGGGAAGACAAGCAGAATCTGCAAGATTTAAGGGGGGAAATTACTTCCAGGTCAAATGCTGTCTAATTCGCAGAGTCGAACAAATCAGATCCCGTGAAGAGGTTTCACGGAAGAATATAAGAAGGTCCCTGATGTATATGATCCGTGATCGGCCCAGTCCAGCGTGCTGTCTCACACGGCGGCCAACCAGTATGGACGGCTGACCAACAGGGCATAGAGCCCTTCCCTGCATCTGCCTCCTAGCACTGATATTCGGAGGTCCACTGCCTCAGAATTTATTTATTATTTATTGATTTATATCCCGCCTTGCCTGCACAGGTTCTCTTTAATTACCACGTGGAGGTTCTCTTTAATCACCATGGCTAGTAGCCACGGGTGGACCCCGTCTTCATGAATCTATCTAATCCAGGGCTTTTTTGGTAGAAAAAGCCCAGCAGGAACTCATTAGCATAATAGGCGACACCCAACAGCAGAAACTCATTAGCCTATTAGGTCACACCCCTGATAGCACCACTCATTGGCATATTAGGCCACACACCCCCGTGTTACCAGAAGTGTGGTCATCCAGTCACACCCACCTTTCCTTTCTTATTCTGTTTACTTTGTTGTCAAAACCCAGGGCTTTTTTTTGTAGCAGGAACTTATTTGCATGTTAGGCCACACACCCCTAATGTAGCCAATCCTAATGAGTTTCTGCTGTTAGGTGTGGCTTATTATGCTAATGAGTTCCTGCTGGGTGTGGCCAACTCAGGAGCCCGCCGGAACTCCGTTCCTGTGCTTTCCTGCCCAAAAATACCCCTGATCTAATCCCCTTTCAAAGCTGCAATGCGCCACAGAAGAAATTACTAGATCTTCAGCCACCAGAGAGGTTCCATTCCAACACTGTAAGAGCAGTGGTGGAAGGAGGTCGATCTGATTGCACGGGAAGCCCCGGATTAGCTGATTTCTGTACCTGGCAGGCAGCCGGGGACTTTGCGTTGTCTCTTAATCCAGCACAGACCATCGACGGTTGCATTTTGTTCCCCCAGAATTTCTTGTCATGACACGTGTTGAAATCTAGGACGGGTAACTTGGCCTGATTCAAAACTTCCGCCAGGGTCAAGTTTTCTTTCCCACCTTCAGTACATAAGACACAAGGAAAGCACATGTGAGGATACCTGTGACAAGACACATGGAGGTGGTGCTGAAAACAGCAGTGCCGCTGTTGAGTTCTCCGGGTTCCTATTAATAGCAGAGGCTTCTTTATAGCCACTCAGCAGGTCGCCTATGGTGAATCAGAAGCTTCTCCAGGCGATCCGAGCAAGGAAGCTAATTTACATTTCATTCTCCACCTTCCCTGTGGAAACAAGCGATTAATAAAGGCAGGTGTGAGCTCGTGAAAGCATCGGTTGGGTCATCCTTTCGTAGGTTTTGTTTGCAAGATTTGCATCGTGTGCCGGGCACGGGTGGCTTAAATAAACTGGGCACGCTGATGCCATTATGCTGGATGGTTCTATAGCAGCAGCCGCCAGTGACATGAAGCGTGGCAGGAAAACTCACAGTGCGATGATATTAAGGCACAAGGTAAATGGCACTGCCATCTTATGGAGAAGGGTACGACTCAGGGCTGCCACTTTGGGCAGGAGGCCCGCGTGTACATTTCACCCTGTCCTTAATGCGCTTCTTATTCCCTTCTCTGCCATCTGGGGTTGCACCCATACAGTTCTCCGCACTCGACCAGCACTTTGTTCTGTTTTTTTCACTGGAGAAGAGGGAGAAATTGGATCAGATTTAAAAAAAACAACAACAGGGCAGAGAAAGGGAGGGGGAAGGGACTTCGGAGCAAACGCAGTCAAGAGGAGCCACTTCCTCAGGCTTCTGTTCCTAAATTCTACCTTTACAGAAACTGGGTGCGTTTTTTCCAACGTTCCTCTGAAATCTCCAGGATGCCCCTCCCCCAGTAGGGAATTTCTGCCTTTTTATCAGATCTTATTTATGTCCTCGGATGGCTTTCTTTGTGCATTTGCCCACTCATCAGCTAAAAAGGGTTGCCCAGGGCTTTTTTGGTAGAAAAATCCCAGCAGGAACTAATTAGCATAATAGGCCACACCCAACAGCTGAAACTCATTAGCATATTAGGCCACACCCTGACACCACAGCTCATTAGCATATTAGGCCGCAGCCCCGTGTTGCCAGAAGTGCGGTCATCCAGCCACACCCACCTTTTGCTTCTTATTCTGTTTACAGTTTGTTGTCAAAACCCAGGGCCTTTTTTTGTAGCAGGGACTCCTTTGCATGCTGGGCCACACACGCCTACTGTAGCCAATCCTAATGAGTTTCTGCTGTTGGGTGTGGCCTATTATGCTAATGAGTTCCTGCTGGGCGTGGCCAACTCAGGAGCCAGCCGGAACTCCGTTCCTGTGCGTTCCTGCCCAAAAATAGCCCTGGGGTTGCCGCTACTATCTTCTACTGATGCAAATGAGAAAGCGGTGTCTTAAAACCATGGGAGGTCCTTAGAACTCAGGATCTGAAAGCATCATGTAACGCTTTGATTCTTTTCAAACTTTCAGGACAGGTGCTTTATTTCTAAAGAGAACAATGCCAGGCGGGAGACCCTGGCTCAGTTTTGGCATTTGCAGTTCTTAATTCTAAGCATGTGGGGTAGGTTGCGACTGAACAGTAAGAAGGGAAGAAGAGGGCCTCTGCTAGGGTTGCCAACTGGCCTGGAGATAAATGTCTCCATCGGGGGTCATTTAGCAGAAAAAGAGGTGCAGGAGCTCATTAGCGCAACTCATTAGCATAACTTATTTGCATATGCCACACCCCCTGACATCACCGGAAGTGTGTCAGAAGGCAACACCCACTGCTCAGGCTCCACTGGACTGTTTTGGATTGCTAGCTATCGGGGGGTGGGAACGTGCAGATCTGTCCTAGCAGAGGAGGAAGAGCTTGTACCTGAATAAAACTTGGTCTTAAAGGTGCCACTGGACTGTTTTGGATGGGGGGGGAGCTCTGCAACTTATCTGGCTGCTTCTTGCTCTGACTGAGGGCTGCTGGGAGCAGGAGGTGGGGCTTGTTGCATGTGCCTCCACATCACAGCCCTGGTATTCCTTGGAGGAACAATCGGCATCTCTGGACTTAATGAGCACAAACAAGCTATATGACATAGATCCAGGTAGTCAGTCTTAAAGGTGCCACTGGACTCTAAATTTGTTAAGCTATGTACTTGAACAAAGAATGTGCAGGGCTAAGAAAGTTAATTTTTCTCAAGATCCTGCGCAGCTGCCTAATTCAGCATCCTGAGAATTTCAATTTTCATTGGGGGGGGGGGAAGCAAGATTCTACCATTAAGTTGGCAAAGGTAGGCTTGAAATCTCAAAGACAGTATTTGGCAAAATCTTTGGCATGTGTGCATTAGACTGTGTGAAGATAACCGCAGTTTCAGCCGTGAGCCTGCCTGTCCTGGAAGCGGATTCACGCCTTTCAGACACATGTGCTGTCTCCACCCACAGGCGGAGGTCAGGGAAGCTAGGTTTCCTCAGTGCTGATTGACCAGCACTTCTGTCATTAACAAGGTCTCCTCCTCCCTCCCCAAGCCAAAGTTTCAGTATAACACAACTTTAAAAAAAAGATATATAAAGCCCCAAAGAAATATTTGATCACATATTCAGGTGGATCCTTTAAAAAAAAAAAAGCTGAAATATGGCAGGGATTGCAATCAATCTTTGTGTGTTTTGGAGACAGGTATGCATATATCTTTTTGCCCTGATCTGGATGGCCCAGGCTAGCCAGATCTGGTCAGGTTTCAGAAGCTAAGCAGGGTCGGCTCTGGTTAGTATTTGGATGGGAGACCACCAAGGAAGTCCGGGGTAGCTGTTCAGAGGCAGGGAGGAGTCAGACAGAAAGAAGCAGTGGGAGCGGTGTAGCAAAAACCAACCAGGGCCCCGGTCACACGGCAAAGTTGCCGCAGGAGAGGCACGGATGGTGGGCGGATTATCCGGGCGCGATCACACCCCAACATCTGGGAAGTGGAGCACACCCATGGCTTACCGCCGACAATGCAAGTTAAAAAACTAGTACCTCCAAGGTACTAGTAAACGTTTGCCACAAGCTGCCTCCAGACCCCCATGGTGTGATCGCCCCGGAGCGTGGCATTCCCCTCTGCTCCCTCGTTTACCTGCTGGCGCTGAGAGAAGGACCGGTGGTGTGCCGCCAGCACGTCTGATCGCGTAATCGCGGATCAAACTGCGCTGGGCAATTAGCCACGCCTCCCCCCCCCGTGATATCCGGCCGGTGTGACCGGGGCCCTTGTTTGCTTGTCTATCTAAATACAAACTAAGTAGTTCTGTTAATGAGGCCTGTATAGCTACTTGCTCCTCCCACTGAGAAGCCGAAGGAAGCAGATGATGCAAAATAAAAATGCACTTTTTTTGGCAAGGAATTTGGGTTTTGAAGATGCTGAATTTTTAATTCCTTTCCCTCTTAGTGCCGAATCTCTGACTTTGGTCACGTGCTGCTGTTTTTACTGGTGCCAAAAATAGAAAATAGGTCCATAAGGGAAGCAGATTGCTTCCCATATACATGTGCATAGTGCAGAGTAAAGGGTTTAGATATGGGAGCTCTGGGTCCAGATCCCAGATTCAAGGGCTGGTGACTATATCTCAGCCTAGCCTACCTCGCAGGGTTGTTTGTTTGATGATAAAGAGAGATGGAGGATGCCCTGAACTCTTTGCCAGAAGGGTGGATAACAATGTAATAATCTAAATCAGGTTCCAGGTGCTCCTCCATCTTATCACTGACATTATACCTCTTGTTCCTCCCCAGCCGGTCACCCAGCAAAAGTGTCCAGGGTGGAGGAAGGTATCTATCTTCGGCAGACACGCATACCGGACGAACTTGTTGGCCATAATGTCTTCCACGGGCTTGACCAAAGCAATGTCATGCTCGAGTTCACTTAGCTGAGGATAGCGAAAATTCTCATGCCGGTAGATTCGCTTCACCCGGTAGGTTCGCTCGGTAGATTCGGGGTATCTGAGGTGGTGTTTGCCCAGAAGAATACGCCAGTTTGTAACGTCTTCCGCCTCCCCCCTAAGAAAAAGAATTAGGGTAAAATGGGGCATGCGGTACAGTCTCTCGGGGATTCCCTCCCTCCATTTTTCTCTGCTCCATTTTTCTCTGCTCTCTGCACTAAAACGACTGAGCCAGGAGAAGTGTATTCACCCAGAGCCGAACCAGATGAAACTCTGCGAGTCCTGTGTCCAAAGCTTTTAAAGAACGTAATTATCTGGTTGGGGCAGGGCCGGCTCGAGGTGTTTCTGCACCCTAAGCGAGGCTGCCTTATGGTGCAGATGCCAACTTCCCGGTGGGGCCTGGAGACCTGGAGACCTCTGGAGCCAGCCACCCTTTTGCTGCCACCACCACTGCCTCCTCCCCCCCCGCCGCCACCACCAGAGGGGGGGAGGATGGGGGGAGGCACAGCTTGGCGCCCCATCCAGGGCCCGGCGCTCTAGGCGAATGCCTAGTTCGCCTAGTGCGTGAGCCGGCCCTAGGTTGGGGGGACCTCAAAAGGACTGGGAGCATAGCGTGGTGGGGTAATCTCTCCACTGTTTCCCCATTTTAAAACAGGGGAGTCGCTGTCTTCCATATTTGGGCAACACGGACAGGAGTAGTGGTGGAAAATGCCGTCAAGTCACAGCGGACTTGTGGAGACCCGGTGGGGTTCTCAAGGCAAGAGATGTTCAGAGGTGGCTCGCAAATTGCCTGCTTCCACATAGCAACCCTGAACGTCCTTGGTGGTCTCCCATGCAAGCTCTAACCAGGGCTAACCTTGCTCAGTTTCCGATGAGATCAGACTAGACATCCAAGTCAGGGCTATAGAGAGTAACTGCATCCATAAGGACATAAGAGAAGCCAATGTTGGATCAGGCCAATGGCCCATCTAGTCCAACACTCTGTCACACAGGGGCCAAAAAATACCAGGTGCCATCAGGAGGTCCAGCAGTGGGGCCAGGACACTAGGAGCCCTCCCACTGTTGCCCACCCCCCCCAAGCACCAAGAATACAGAGCATCACTTGCCCCAGCCTGAGAGTTCCTATCTATACCTTGTGGCTAATAGCCACTGATGGACCTCTGCTCCATATAAGAACATAAGAGAAGTCAATGTTGGATCAGGCCAATGGACCATCCAGTCCAACACTCTGTCACACAGTGGCCAAAAGTACCAGGTGCCATCAGGAGGTCCATCAGTGAGGCCAGGACTCTAGAAGCCCTCCCACTGTTGCCCCCCCCAAGCACCAAGAATCCAACTTATGCGAAAGTAACTGCATCCAGCCCTTGCCATTAGATTTAAGGATACTTCTCTGAGAGTATGGGTAGTTCCTGGCCCACCAGAATACAGCAAGACGACTTCTGTCATAAAGAGCTACTTGGAAGAAGCTCTCCGCAGTCTGAGGTGAGCTTCGTAAAGGGGAGAGCAGCAAAACGACATAGCCGGACTAAGATCCACATCCAGTGGCATATGGCAATAGGACTTTAAAGCACTGATCAACAGTGTCTTGCTTCCCTCTTGGAGACCAAATTAGCTTTAAAGATTCTGGTTCATGGGGATCTTTCCGTAGTTAAGCCGTGTCAAGAGTCATCACTGGACGTGTGTCCTTTGTGTAGTCGTGCACTGAATAGGCATGACAGAAAATGGGATTCCTGTGCTTTCTTTACAGCGTTTCAGGGAGGGAAATACAGGCAGTGTGTTTTGCAGGGAGCAGAGAGCTGAACTCGGGCTTTAATTCTGGCTCTGCGTAGCGACCCTGGACTTCCTGGTCCGTCCCTGCTTAGCTTTTGAGATCTGACAACAGTGGGAGGGCTTCCGGATCCAACATTGGCTTCTCTTATGTTCTTATGTCTGGGGCAAGGGATGCTCTTTATTCTTGGTGCTTAGGGGGGGCAACAGTGGGAGGGCTTCTAGTGTCCTCCTGGCCACACTGGTGGACCTCCTGATGGCACTGGTATTTCTGGCCACTGTGTGATACAGAGTGTTGGACTGGATGGGCCTTTGGCCTGATCCAACATTGGCTTCTCTTATGTTCTTATGTTCTTATGACAAGATCGGGCTGGGCTGGGCTGGGCTGGGCTATCCAGGTTAGGGCTTAATTACTGTATCATATTTTTGTCCCCCTCCTTCTAGGAGCTGCGAACAGGCCCGGGGGAAACCATACTGTCCATTTAATAGAGTTTGGATGTGTTTGGAATTAGGCAGCAGCTGAAGTTTTTCATGCCATGAAGGTTTTTAAAAGAGGCTTAGTGGGATGTTATATACCAGGTGGTGTTATTGACCTCCCGGCAGTTCACAACCGTACTTCCTTCCCCCAAGGAGCTCCGGGTGTATACCTGCTTGCCACGCCCTGCATTGTATCGTTATAGGACAGGAAACACAAGTAGAGCCTCAGGAGATACACATCAGGGCAAACAAGAAGTCAAGAGTCAGAGACATGGGAAGATCCTCTCGCCTGCTGAATGACCCCACCCGGAATGGCTCTCAGCAGGCACACAAAGAGAACAGGCATGTTTACCCTTGTTTCTACGCACACACATTGGGAACAGCTTTTCCCAAAAGGCAGCGAAATTGGCCACTCTGTAAGGGCTCACAACCCAACTGGTGGGGCTCCGCTCCATGACTCGCCTGATGCTTCTGACTCTCTGGTGTCCCGATCACCCCCCCCCCAATAATGCAGTTTCAGTCCACTCTCAATGCACTTTCCAACTGGATTCTAGTGTGTGAACTGGCAAGATGGCATTGGCTTTTCCCTCCATTGTTTTACTAAACCAACCTTTTTGAGCCAGCAGAAACACCTTTGGAATTCTGACACCAGTTGGTGGGAGGAACGGCAAAATGGCTGCCTCAGGAGGTGGAGTCACTAAGGGTGCGTTCAGACGGGGGCTTTACATCGGTTAGGGTGCCGGTTCCAATCGTTGTACTTACCGGCGTTCAGACGGGGCACATCTGCCTCCTCTCCCTAACCGGTGTAAAGCCCTTTCGTTAAAGCCCTTTACACCGTTGCACTCTGCTACCAGTTCCCCAAGTGGTGGTATACAGAGTGCAACGGTGGTAAACGGTGCACCCCGGCGTCTGATCGCTCTCCACCAGTGCCTAGGCATTTCCGTCGGAAGCCTGAGGCATCTGTTAAAATAAACACAAAAAAACTTACTTTACCTTCCCGGAGGAGTCCGGGACTTAAGGGAGGCCAAGTTGGGATTTAAACTTTAAAGGTAAGTCCTTACCTTTAAAGTTTAAATGTAATGGGGGGGTTGAGCATGCGCAAAAATCGCCATTCTCTGAATGACTACCTGTGCGCATGCTCAAACTGCTTTAAAAAAAAAAAAAACACCGACGCCTGCAGCGTGTGAGCGGGCGTCCAATGGAGGCATTCGCAAGATGGAGGGTGAGTCTGATCGCGTTTCTGCCGGCATAAACTGCACCGGTTCCAACCGTCTGAACGCACCCAAAAAGTCAGGGGGTGAGGTTATGCATAACTGTGTGTGACTGTAACTCTTCAGCATTTCGGGCAGAAGCTCAGTTTAACAGTTTAAAATCTGTGCAGCCTATTAGAAGCCCTGCTAGGCAAAGATCCCACTTGGCCCTGCCCAGATTTCAAAAAGCACTTTGCAGGCACCCCGTTGGGGACCCCTCGTTTATCTACTTCCAGGAATCCGCAGGGGGTGGTGGGGGTGGAACGCAGCACTTACTTCTGGAAGCAGTGAGCGGCAGTGAGGACCCAGCGTTTGTGAATGAGGGTGCCGCCGCAGACATGAACAAATCTATCACTTGGTCTAGAGCGAGTCTGGGGAGAGGAAAACAAGAGAAAGCACACGTGTCAGTCACAGAGACGATTGGGAACAGGGCCAAAGTAACCTCATTTTAGGCTTCCCAAGTCCCCCTGGGGGGCGGGGAAACCCCCGCCCCAGAGGCCCATTCCCTGCCACCGCCGGATTGGGGCCCTGGGGGAGCTCCACCCCGACGTGCGCGTCACCCAGAAGTGACGCGACCATGCTGGGCACGCTGGGGGCAGGGCCACGGCAATCCGAGGGAAAACTCTATGGTTTTCCCTTGTATGGCCATGGCCCCACCCCCAGCGTGCCTGCCATCATCACGTCACTTCTGCACGCACACCAGACGCCGGCCGGGAGCCCCCCGCTCTGGCAGAAGATCGACTTGGCAACCCTACCAACCCTCACTTGGATTCGGGAGGTGTCGGGTGCTGTAGGCCTCAAAGCCAGGACCTGGGTTTTCTTCAGTTTGCTATTGGAGCTGCCTGTAAAGACGGCTGCAAGAGCCAATCTCATCTGTTCCCACAGCACCACCCCTCAAGATGGCCACTGGAGGAACAACACCACACTGCCAGTCATGTCAAATGAAGCCATCTGAGATCAGCTGACTGAAAGGGCCAATGAGATCAGCCCTGGATGTATAAAGCTGCTACTTCTGTGCTGGGTTTTTTCAGTCTGAGTGGCTTGTTAGTGGAAGTATTTACTCGCTGCCTGAATTTGACCTAGTGTCTTGCTTTCGTCTTTGCCTGCTGTATAGATTCTGGCCTGGCCATGACAGCCCCATTTGTGTACGTTGGTTTATTCTCATGCGGTGGAGTCCCCATTGTTAGTTCTGTTGGTTACTTGGAGATGTAGACTGCATGAACTCCCTTGTCCTGAAACCCGCTGCTCCCATCCCTCTATCTCCTTGCTAAAAAATGGATGTTGCTTTGAACACGTCCATCTCTGCTGTGTGAACCTACGAACAGGAACCTGAATGAAGTCCCTAATCCTGACTTGAAAGGAAAAGGGAACATCCCACCCTGCCTACTCTATCTCCAGCTTGACTTGGGCTACTCTATTATGCAGGGGTCATTTCGTAGAAAAAGAGGTGCAGGAGCTCATTAGCATAACTCATTAGGATAACTTATTTGCATATGCCACACCCCCTGACATCACTGGAAGAGTGTCAGAAGGCAACACCCACAGCTCAGGCTCCACTGGACTGTTTTGGATTGCTAGCTATTGGGGGCTGGAGGAACGTGCAGATCTGTCCTCACAGAGGAGGGAGAGCTTGTACCTGAATAAAACTTGGTCTTAAAGGTGCCACTGGACTGTTTTGGATTGCTAGCTATGGGGGGGGACACACACAGATCTGTCCTCACAGAGGAGGGAGAGCTTGTACCTGAAGGCGGGCTGGGGCCCCCCCTGCAATTTACCTGGCTGCTTCTTGCTCCTCGTGGCCCAACTGAGTGCTGCTGGGAGCAGGGGCGGGGCTTGTTGCATGTGCCCACCCCCTGGGCTCCTTACTGCCAGAGCTCCGCTCCTGTGCGCTCCCACAGGAAATGACCCCTGCTATTATGACTGAATCGTCTTGACAGCGAGGAGAAGCCTTGCCCACCAAATGTGTTGTGGATATTAAGGTTCCTCTGTGAGGGAACATTCCAGCATTTTGTATCTTGGACACTGAGAAAGGGAGGAGCTCACTTGACTCAGAATATGACCCCTCCCTCTCCACCTGCCAGCTTCCAGGTAGTGGCTGGAATCTCCTGGGATTACAAAAATGATCTCCAGGAGACAACAGTTCCCCTGGAGAAAATGGCTGCTTTGGAAGGTGGACTCTGCGGCATTCTACCCCATTGAAGTCTCTCTCCCAAACTCCACCCTCAACAGGCTCCACCCCCCCAAATCTCCAGGTACCTCCCAACTTGGAGCTGGCAACCCTATCCTGGACCCTGGCACCAGCCATGCCTTAAAAAAAATATCCACCACGATTTTCAACATTTCTACCTGTAAAGAGACCTGCCAAGGCCAAGAATGTGGCCTTGCTTCGTTGCCAGATATGATCTTTGCAAATATGTTGGGCTGGAAGTAAGCAATGCCACAATTCTGGGGCCAATCTGAAACAGAAAAGAAAGAGAATGGTCAGCAACATGAGAAGAGCGCCATTCACGTACAACTGAATGTCACCTGTCTTCCCAAGGGAAGAAGAAGAGAGAAGAAGAGAAGAGATTAGATTTATACCCCGCCCTTCACTCAGAGTCTCAGAGCGGCTTACAAACTCCTTTCCCTTCCTCTCCCCACAACAGACACCCTGTAGGTGGGGTTGAGAGAGCTTTTCCAGAACTGTCCTTAAGAGAACAGCTCTGGCAGAACTATGGCTTGCCCAGGGCCATCCAGCAGGTGCGAGTGGAGGAGTGGGGAATCAAACCCGGTTCTCCCAGATTAGAGTCCGCGCACTTAACCACTACACCAAACTGGTATCCAGCTGTCATGGCCCATAGCCCTGTGAAGTTGTGCAAAGCGCCTGCGTACTCTGTGCATAGAGTGGAGTGGGATCATGCCTTCTTGCCACAGAGACAGACTTCAGCAGAGAACTGGACAGAAATGTATCCGCATAGCCTTACACCCTCCTCCTTGTAGCGGTTGTGATCCTGCATCATAGGATTCCATGTAGAGGTTAGTCTGCATGCGCAGAGGCCTGGGGGATTGCCAAGGATTGAACCTGGGACCTTCTGTATGCCAAGCAGATGCTCTTCCACTGAGCCACAGCCTCTCCTGACCAGAAACACTGGCTTGGTGTCAGCTAGCTGCCATGTTTAATTTTGTGTTTGTCCTTTCCTGCATGTGGTGCGAATGCGCATGCTTGCTCGCTTGCTGTAAGCAGTGATAGGGAGGCGCTCATGAGACTGTACGAACTGGCACTGCCAGACTTGGTTATCTGACTAACCTTGAGGAGGAGGGAGGGCTTGTGTTCCACTGTTGGTGTGAATATTTCTGCTCTCATGAGGCACAGAGACTTTCCCGTTCATTATGTAATCTGCCGCCGGGAGAATTCCCACGCGCGCGCTTGGATTTAATTTGCTTAGCCAATTGCAGCATCGTGTTATATGTAGTGATGCACCCTCCCCATTGTCATTCCTAACAATATCCCTGTAGACCATGGCACCCCCTCCCCACCCCCCAGCCCGATCACCGTGAAAGATCCAAGATCCATACGAGCGGTCATGGGCTTTGCCAGAAACATGAGTAAACTGATCTCCCAGCACTGATCATGAATGCAAGTAAAGCACTTCCACCAGCTACTCAGGAAGCAGAAGTACGGGGGGTTATCTCAGAGATATCATCAGGAGATGCCAAAGAATACATTTTGCAGAGCTCTGCCTGGGTTGCCTCATCTTAATATAGTTCTGGACTGGGGTCATTTCGTAGAAAAAGAGGTGCAGGAGCTCATTAGCATAACTTATTTGCATGTGCCACACCCCCTGACATCACCGGAAGTGTGTCAGAAGGCAACACCCACCTCTTAGGCTCCACTGGACTGTTTGGGATTGCTAGCTATTGGGGGGGGGCGTGCAGTTCTGTCCTTGAAGAGTAGGGAGAGCTTATACCTGAATAAAACTTGGTCTTAAAGCTGCCACTGGACTGTTTTGGACCGGGAGGGGGGCTGGGGGAGCTCTGCAGCTTACCTGGCTGCTTCTTGCTCTGACTGAGGGCTGCTGGGAGCAGGGGGTGGGGCTTGTTGCATGTGCCCGCCCTCTGGGCTCTTTACTGCCGGAGCTCCGCTCCTGTGCGCTCCTGCAGGAAATGACCCCTGGTTCTGGAGCTAGTATTGTCTGAGAATCAGACTAGCAGCTGGGAGACCCAGGTTCGAATACCCAGGAGCCATGGAAGCTTGCTGGGTGTCCTTGAGCCAGTCATGGCCAATGTTCCCGCTAAGCTGTGGAGTCTGGTGAGCAGAAATTCTACTTTGTGAGCTACTGGTATTAGAGTTGTGAGCAAGCGATTTGGTTACTGCATAAATTAGTTTGCTCTGGAGCCCTCCTTCCTGAGCTAAGACAAAAATGAGTGAGCCGGAGGCTAAAAACTAAAAACTGTGAGCTAGCTCACACTAACTCAGCTTAGAGGGAACACTGGTCATTGCCTCTCAGCCACAACTACCTCACAGGGTTGTTGTGAGAAGAGAAGAGAAAAGAAGAGATTGGATTTTTACCCCGCCCTTCACTACCGAGTCTCAGAGAGGCTTACAAACTCCTTCCCCTTCCCCTCCCCACAACAGACACCCTGTGAGGTAGGTGGGTCTGAGAGAGCTCTGACAGAAACTGCTCTTTTTTCAAGAAAAGCTCTTATCAGAACTACGGCTTGCCCAAGGTCATCCAGCAGGTACAAGTGGAGGAGTAGGGAATCAAACCCGGTTCTCCCAGATTAGAGTCCACGCACTTAACCACTACACCAAACTGGCTCTTGTGTGTGTGGGATTTGTGTGTGTGTGGATCCTATACCCTCCACTCAGGTAGGGATGCCAGCCTCCTGGTGGGGCCAGGGGATCTCACAGAATTACAGCTCATCTCCAGACTACAGAGATCTGTTTCCACTGAGAAAATGTATGCTTTGGAGGGTGGACTCTATGGCACTGTGCCCCACTGAGGTCCCTGTCCTCCCCAGGCTCCACCCCCAAATCTCCAGGAGTTTCCCCACCTGGATCTGGCAACCCTACGTGACTGCCAGCGGCCTAGGAGGACCGGGCAACCTCACCACGTCCTGCCCTTCTTTGCTCTCCAGTTACCTGCCCCTCCTGTCTTCCCTCCACTCTACCTCAGTTTCCTCCCCAACAGGGCACACGTGGTTGTCTTACCATCACCTACCAGCCTGTTTTTTCCCCACAGTCCCCCCCCATTTTTAACCAACTCTTATCTCTCTTGTGGTGTCTTCTTCCCTATTCACTCCCTATTTATGTTATTGTTATTGAGTTGCAGTTGAGTCAGACTCTTTGCGACCCCATGGACCACATCACACCAGGCCCTCCTGTCTTCTGCCACCCTCTGGAGTTTGCTCCACTTCATGTTCGTTGCATCAGTGACACTTTCTAACCATCTCATCCTTTGCCGTCCCCGTCTTCTTTGACCTTCAGTCTTTCTCAGCATCGGGGTCTTCTCCAGTGAGTGCTCCCTTCTCATTGGGTGGCCAAAGTATTTGAGCTTCAGCTTCAGTATCTGGCCTTCCAGGGAACAGTCAGGGCTGATTTCCTGATTTGATCTCCTTGCAGTCCAAGGGACTTTCAAGAGTCTTCTTCTTACTTATGCAGGGGTCATTTCCTGCGGGAGCGCACAGGAGCGGAGCTCCGGCAGTAAGGCGCTCAGGGGGCGGGCACATGCAACAAGCCCCACCCCCTGCTCCCAGCAGCCCTCAGTTGGGCCATGAGGAACAAGAAGCAGCCAGGTAAGTTGCAGAGCCCGCCTTCAGGTACAAGCTCTCCCTCCTCTGTGAGAGCAGATCTGCGCATTCTCCCCCCCCAATAGCTAGCAATCCAAAACAGTCCAGTGGCACCTTTAAGACCAAGTTTTATTCAGGTACAAGCTCTCCCTCCTCTGTGAGGACAGATCCGCGCATTCTCCCCCCCCAATAGCTAGCAATCCAAAACAGTCCAGTGGCACCTTTAAGACCAAGTTTTATTCAGGTACAAGCTCTCCCTCCTCTGTGAGGACAGATCCGCACGTCCCCCCCACAATAGCTAGCAATCCCAAACAGTCCAGTGGAGCCTGAGCGGTGGGTGTTGCCTCCTGACACACTTCCAGTGTTGTCAGGGGGCGTGGCATATGCAAATAAGTTAGGCTAATGTGTTATGCTAATGAGCTCCTGCAGCTCTTTTTCTACGGAATGACCCCTGCTTATGCTCCCCCCCCCCAAAAAAATTATACATCCTCCTTTTTACAGCACTCGATTCTGCACGCCCTTCAAAATGCCACTCAGGAGTCCCGTTCCCTCCCACAGTGTCTTCGTCACCACCTGATCCTTCGGGGAGGGCGGGATATAAATCCAAATAAATAAATAAATATCTTAGGCTACCCTGCAGGGTTCGGACTTTTCTCCATCTTTGCAGAAATCGATCCTCCAGCTCCGGGTGCTTCTGCTGTGAGGCTCTTAAAAACCCACACAGGGAAGGGCTTCCGTGGCTTATTAGCTCTACACAACTGAATGCGGTCCTGACCTGGAAGGCCCAGGCTAGCCGGATCTCGTCAGATCTTGGAACAGGGGTCGTTTTGTAGACAAAGAGCTAGGGGAACTCATTAACATAACTCATTAGCATATGCCACACCCCCTGACATCATAAGGCCCGGCGGTGGACCTGCAAGGCCGGCGGGAGTGCGAGGAAGCTCCGCCAAGGCCCTCCCTGGCCCCAGGCAGGCAGGGGTGGGGAGAGGCGGAGAGGAAGCAACTTACCCTCCCTCTTCTCCTGCCTTCTCCTGGCTGAATGAGGGCCGGAAGCCGGGCGGCCGGAAGCAGGGGGCGGGGCTTCATCGTGTGCCCCGCTCCCTACACCTCACCTGGGGGAACTGTGATCCCCCGCATTCCCCCCCGAAATGACCTCTGTCTTGGAAGCTAATTAGAGTCGGCTTTGGTTAGCATTGGGATGGGAGACCACCAAAGATAGTCCAGGGTCGCTGAACAGAAGCAGAAGCAAACCACCTCTGAGTAACTCTTGCCTTGAAAACCGTACAGGGTCGCCATAGGTTGGCTGTGACTTGACTGCCACCATGTAACTGAATGACAGCCATCACTGTAAAGTGACCTATGACTGTGACCATCCAAAGGCGTGGTCGCCTTTAAGAAAGGTATGCGCTTCCGTGTGCAAGGCACACTTTGTCAGATACATAGTAAAGGTAAAGGTTCCCTTGCTCGAAAGCCAGTCGAGTCCGACTCTAGGGTAGCGGTGCTCATCTCCATTTCAGAGCCGAAGAGCCAGAGCTGTCCGAAGATGTTTCCGTGGTCATATGGCCGGCATGACTCAACACCAAGGCACACAGAACGCTGTTACCTTCCCACCGAAGTGGTACCTATTTATCTACTTGCAATTTCTTGCTTTTGACCTGCTAGGTTGGCAGGAGCTGGGACTAGAGACGGGAGCTCACTCCATCCTGCGGCACACTCGGGTCTCGAACCGCTGAACTACCGACCTTCCACAGACTAAGTTTCAAACTTATAGCCAGAGAATGAACGGCAAATTAACATGCAACATGATGAAGATCAAGATATGCAAAGTGACACTAAATAACAAGTTAAGGTGATACGGCCAACAGTTGTAAAGCAATAAATACGTCAAACTAGCAGAGAAATGTCTAAAGGTGTCTTTTCTAATGGCAGGAAGCAACTGGGAATCTTCATCCTGTCAGGCAGGGAGGGCACTTAACACGACATCCCACTCCAAAGAATGCTGCTATGTCATCATGTTGCATGTTATCTGTTCATTCTCTGGCTATAAGTTTGAACCTTTCTTGCCATTCTGTGTGTCCGAAAAAGTGTGCCCAGCACACGAAAGCTCATCCCTTCAATACACCTTTGTTGGTCTTAAAGGTGCCATGGGACTCTAAATTTGTTGTACGGCTTCAGAGCAACATGGCTGACCAACTGGATCCATCCTAAGGTAAGAAAGACATCCTCTTCCCCAACGTGCTTCCAAGGAAGATTTGGGAGTCGCTGCGGTTAAGGGGAGGAAGAGCAGGATCTCAGAACCAATCAGTGATACCTTTCTCTGCCTCGGTTGTCCATCTGTAAAATCGCAATGTGACGTTCTCTGCTGGGCTGGTGTCGAGGAATGCTCGGTTTGCTCAGTAAAATCACACGCGGATAATGTGCTGAATTCATATCAGCTTAGCGACACATTTGCAGCCGGATCCAAATGTAGTCATGGGGCTTTGGGAAAGCAATGTCAATTTGCCCTGGACTGAGCTCAAGGGGCCCATTGCTGTATCTGCTTCAATTCATAGAATCGTAGAGTTGGAAGGGACCTCCAGGGTCATTAGGTCCAACCCCCTGCACAATGCAGGAAATTCACAAATACCTCCCCCCCCATGCCCCCAGTGACTGCTGTTCCACGCCCAGAAGATGATAAAAAAAGCTCCAGGATCCCTGGCCAAATCGGCCTGGAGAAAAATTGCTTCCTGACCCCAAAGTGGCGATCAGCATTTCCCTGGGCGTGTAAGACAGGGCCACGAGAACCAAGCACTGAGGCAACCCTTCCTGCCCTCCCTTCTCATCATCTGCCCAAGTTCACAGAATCCACATTGCTGTCAGATGGCCATTAGGCACTGAAGTCACATTAGGACAGGGGGGGAAATATATAATCCTTGTAAAAGGTAAAGGTAAAGGTTCCCTTGCTCGAAAGCCAATCGAATCCGACTCTAGGGTTGCGGTGCTCATCTCCGTTTCAAAGCCAAAGAGCCAGTGCTGTCCGAAGACATTTCTGTGGTCATGTGGCCGGCATGACTAAACACCGAGGCACACGGAACGCTGTTCCCTTCCCACCGAAGTGGTCCCTATTTATCTACTTGCAATTTCTTGCTTTCGAACTGCTAGGTTGGCAGGAGCTGGAACGAGAGACGGGAGCTCACTCCGTCTTGCGGCACCCGGGTCTCGAACTGCTGAACTACCGACCTTCCGCAGCCTGCAGTTCAGCGTCTTAGCCACTTGAGCCACCTTGTGCCCTGTCCCTAAATCATCATCATCATGGCCCTTCCAAAGAGATTCCATCCATTCCCAGGCTTACCTAAATCCAGAAGTTTGGGAAGAAATACCTTCTGCGGCAAGTACGCCTTTGCCAAAGAAAGGGCCACAACCAGGATAAGGAGACCGCCCCGAAACATTGCCAGAGGCTTGATCCGAAGAGCGCACAAAGGAAGGCTGGGATTTTATAGGGGAACGCAAATGCCATCGCTGCGCCCAGTGAGCCAGAGAAAAGAGGACAACAACCTGGGCTTGTTGCTGTCGAAAACCACTCAGACAAAGCCCGGTGGATCAAAACACCCGGGCCTGGATGCTTCTGCCTGCGCTTAGCAGTCCTTTTGACGGACCCGGCTGGAGGAGGGCCGGTCTCAATCAGCAGTTTTGGAAAGGCACAAACAAGGCCAGGAGCGGCTGCAGCAAGACAGGGTGGCCGGTTGGAGATCCGGGAGCAAGGGGTGCCAACTGGCCCTGAGGCACCCCGGCACTGTCTCCCACTATCATACTCAGTTGAATAGGGATCTCGGGGGTGGGTGGGGGTGGACGTCTTTTTCACTGGCCTCGATCGTGTGCCTTTAAGCCGCAGCTCTTGACCCACAGAGGGATGTTTTCTGCTGGAGGTTAGAGTGGTGGCGTGAGATCTCCCCACTACTGCAACTGGTTTCCAGCAGGGGTCATTTCGTAAAAAAAGAGCTAGGGGAACTCATTAGCATAACTCATTATCATATGCCACACCCCCTGACATCAGGGGCCCGGCGGTGAACCTGCAAGGCCAGCGGGAGTGTGAGGAAGCCCCGCCAAGGCCCTCCATGGCCCCAGGCAGGCAGGGGTGGGGAGAGGCGGGGAGGAAGCAACTTACCCTCCCTCTTCTCCTGCCTCCTCCTGGCTGAATGAGGGCTGGAAGCGGGGCGGCCGGAAGCAGGGGGCGGGGCTTCGTCATGTGCCCCACCCCCCGCACCTCACCGCGTTCTCCCCCAAAATGACCTCTGGTTTCCAGGCAACAGAGATAAGTTCCCCTGGAGAAAATGGCCTCTTTGGAATGTGGGATCTATGGCATTATACCCTACTGTGGTCCAATGTTCCCTCTAAGCCGTGGAGTCTTGTGAGCAAAAATTGTACTTTGTGAGCTACTGGCATGAACGTTGTTACTGAGCCGTTTGGCTGCTGCATAAATTAGTTTGCTCTGGAGCCACATCCTTCCTGTGCTAAGACAAAAATTTGTGAGCTGGAGGCTAAAAAACAGTGAGCTAGCTCACACTAGCTCAGCTTAGAGGGAACACTGCTGTGGCCCCTCCCTTCCCCAAACCTCGCCCTCCCAAGGCTCCATCCCCAAAATCTCAGTATTTCCCAACCTGGAGCTGAGAAGGGGGGGGATATTCTCATCTGCTGAAGTCTCTCTGGATTGAGCTGTTAGGCCCAAGAGGTTGGGCAAATCGAGTTGGCAAGCGCTTCAGGTTCTATCTGTCCGAAGAAGAAGAGATTGGATTTATACCCCACCCTTCACTTGGAGTTTCAGAGCGGCTTACAGACTCCTTTCCCTTCCCCTCCCCACAACAGACACCCTGTGAGGTGGGTGGGGCTGAGAGAGCTCTTGACAGAAACGGCTCTTTTCCAAGGACAGCTGTGCCAGAGCTTGTGACTGACCCAAGGTCACATCAGCAGGTGCAAGTGGAGGAGTGGGGAATCAAACCCGGTTCTCCCAGATTAGAGTCCGCGCACTTAACCACGACACCAAACTGGAGCTTTGACTCTTGAAATCTTGCACCCTGAAACTCTTGTTCACCTCCAAGGCGCTCCTGGATTTGACGCTAACCGTCCCACTGCAGACGTACACGGCTACCCTCCGAAACGAAGGTTCTATCCAGGAAACCTGCATTCCAAGCAGATGCTTTACCCTTGAGCCACAGCCCCTCTGTAAACTGTCCAGTATTGCTACACAAACAACCTCTGAAGTCTCTTGCCTGAAAAACACTCTGGAGAGGCCGCCATAAGTCCACTGCAATTTGCGGGCACGTTACCCACCCTTCCCCATTAGATTATCTGTTCAGAAAACCAACGGTATGACTCGATTTTTTTTAAAATGCAAGGTCATCTAGGCCACTGTTTCCCAACCTTAGAGCCCCGTGGCACCTTTAAGACCAACAAAGGTTTATTTGAGGTAGGAGCCGTCGTGATCAAAGCACGCTTTTCCAAGTATTTGACGAGGCAAGTATTTGAGAAAGTGTGCTTTGCACACGAAAGCTCCTACCCAGGACTATTATTGGGCAGGAACGCACAGGAACGGAGTTCCGGCTGGCTCCCAAGTTGGCCACGCCCAGCAGGAACATATTAGCATAATAGGCCACCCCCAACAGCAGGAACTCATTAGGATTGGCTACATTAGGGGTGTGTGGCCTAACATGCAAAGGAGTTCCTGCTACAAAAAAAGCCCTGGGTTTTGACAACAAACAAGGTAAACAGAATAAGAAGCAAAAGGTGGGTGTGGCTGGATGACCACACTTCTGGTAACATGTGGGTGTGGCCTAATATGCTAATGAGCTGTGCTGTCAGGGGTGTGGCCTAATATGCTAATGAGTTCCTGCTATTGGGTGTGGCCTATTATGCTAATGAGTTCCTGCTGGGCTTTTTCTACAAAAAGAGCCCTGCTCCTACCTTGAATACACCTTTGTTAACCGTAAAGGTGCCACCACGGGACTCTAAATTTGTTCTACTGCTTCAGACCAACACAACTGGCTACCTGGATCTGTTTCGCAGCCTGTCGGTCAGGACCCAAAAGTGGGACCTGAAGCCTCTAAAAAGTGGGTTGCAGGCCAGCCCTCTCTAATGGGCACCCCGTGTCCATTCCGCCGTTCTCGTTTGTATTTTGGAAACCAAGATCTGACTCTGGAAACAGTATCTTCCATGTCATACATTAGTTGGTATTTTTTCTTCTTCACTGCATATACGTGTTGATCTACTAAAACATGTCCTGATGGTTACTAGCAGGGGTCATTTCCTGCAGGAGCGCACAGGAGCGAAGCTCCGGCAGTAAAGAGCCCAGGGGGTGGGCACATGAAACAAGCCCCACCCCCTGCTCCCAGCAGCCCTCAGTCAGAGCAAGAAGCAGCCAGGTAATACGTTGCAGAACACCTCCCCCAGTCCAAAACAGTCCAGTTGCACCTTTAAGACCAAGTTTTATTCAGGTACAAGTTCTCCCTCCTCTGCGAGGACAGATCTGCACGTTCCCCCGTCCCCCATAGCTAGCAATCCAAAACAGTCCAGTGGAGCCTGAGCAGCGGGTGTTGTCTTCTGACACTTCCGGTGATGTCAAGGGGGGGGTTCCCTGTCATATGCAAATAAGTTATGCCAATGAGTTATGCTAATGAGCTCCTGCACCTCTTTTTCTACAAAATTACCCCTGGTTACTAGGGTGAGCTTCTTAGAATCTTAGGAGGGATTATTGGGGCTAATGGAGAGGGAGAGGATGGTCAAAGGCGGGACTCTAACCTCCATACCCAAAGGCATTGTAAATGATGCTCGGCCCCCTTAAAGATCATAGTAGGGTGGATCCTACCCCTATTCAATTACTACACTGAGCTAACTTGATTCAATGATACATTAATTTATTATTAGCTTATTTATACCCCACCTTTCGGTCATGTTTGAAGTCTTCAGTCTAAGAACAAAGTTCTTCAGTGTCCAGTGGCACTTTTAAGACCAACAAAGAAAGCTTATACCCCTATTTAAACTTTGTTGGTCTTAAAGGTGCCACTGAACTCAAACTTTGTTCTGTTGCTTCAGACCGACATGGCTACCCACCTGAATCTATTCAATCTAAGGAGATTTCCTCCCACTTGGCTCTTCCATTGGATGCTTAAATTGGAAGAAGAAGAAGAGATTGGATTTAGACCCCACCCTTCACTCAGAGTCTCAGAGCGGCTTACAATCTCCTTTCCCTTCCCCTCCCCACAACAGACATCCTGTGAGGTGGGTGGGGCTGAGAGAGCTCTGACAGAAACGGATCTTTCAAGAACAGCTCTGAACGAACTATGGCTTGCCCAAGGTCATCCAGCAGCTGCAAGTGGAGGAGTGGGGAATCAAACCCGGTTCTCCCAAATTAGACTCCGCACACTTAACCACTATACCAAACTGGAGGAAGACTACTTAGAGGATGTTTGGATTCACCCCATTGTTTTACTGTCCTTACGAACTTTGTTGATTGTTCCAACATGCCGACTGAGTTACTTGCTTTTGGTCAACAACGGAACGTACAGTTGCTTGCTAAACATATTGTGGTCACAAGGTGGCGCTAAAGGAGCTTTCCATAGGATAAATGGACGCATGAAGCTGCCTTATACCAACTCAGACCATCAGTCCGTCAAAGGTCCATTCTGCATCTAGCATTCGGTCCATTGTTTTGCCAAACCCTCCCTGGAAAAGGAAAAGATGTTGCTCAAAACCACATTCAAATATCCCGGGCCAACACCGTACTGACTGCGGAGTCACCCCCGGATGGCAATAAAACGGCCATCCATCTATGCAGACAGTACCATAAAACCGAGATATCGAAGGAAGCGAAACCAGCATGCAGTGTGGAGGCAACCATAAAATCCGACAATCAAAGAAAGTGAAAGTGGCACACAATGTAGAGGGGGATTTCTGTTCCAATGTGGGTTTGGTAAAACAGCAGCGCAAATGCTAGAGGCAGAATGGGCCACAGTCAGTATTCTCTTCTCAGACTGGCAGTGCTCTCCAGAGTTCTGATAGAGGTCTTTCACATCACCTACTACTTCATTAACTGGTGATGCTTGGGACTGAAGCTGGAGCCTTATGCATGCCAGGCAGGTGCTCTGGCATTGAGCCACAGCCCCTAGGAAGCCATTTAATTCACTGCTCTTGACCCACATTTATTAAACTATACCAGGAGCAGAGGTCATTTCGGGGTGGATTGCGGCGGATCGCAGTTCCCCCGGGTGAGGTACGGGGGGTGAGGCACATGATGAAGCCCCGCCCCCTGCTTCCGGCCGCCCCGCTTCCGGCCCTCATTCAGCCAGGAGGAGGCAGGAGAAGAGGGAGGGTAAGTTGCTTCCTCCCTGCCTCTCCCCACCCCTGCCTGCCTGGGGCCAGGGAGGGCCTTAGTGGGGCTTCCTTGCACTCCCGCCGG